CTCATACACCTTCTATAACCGATATGAACATATTATATAAACCTTAATCTCATCATCACTGCACCTAGCATTCATTTTTCCCTTTCCTCATCTTTAATTTTGGACTTAAACAACTGTGTGTGTGTGTGTGTGTGTGTGTGTGTGTGTGTGTGTGGTCCAGGTGTTACTCATATTGTGGGGATCTAAAACTGTCAATTATTACATTTTAAGGTAAAGACATGTTTTAAGTTTATGTGTAGGTTAAGATTAGGTTATGGTTAGGGTTAGGTAAGTAGTAACTGTGGTTAAGGTTATTGTAGACTGTCTCCAGGAAAACACTGTGAGTCAACGTTATGTTCATGTGTGTGTGTGTGTGTGTGTGTGTGTGTGTGTGTGTGTGTGTGTGTGTGCTCCGTGTTACTAAAATAAACAGTTAGAACAAAAATTACACTTGGCATCCTGTAAAATAAATAAATTCTCAGAAAGACAAGATCAGATCATTTGGGATGAAGCATTGACCCGTCTCTTCATTTTTCCTTCCACTGCTCTCAGGGCTGTGTGTGTGTGTGTGTGTGTGTGTGTGTGTGTGTGCTGGAGGAATCATGTAGGACAAGATTCATCTTCTCCACTATCATAGAAGCTCCTCATGTAGCCCGGGGTCCGATGCAGCTCCTTTGCACGCTGCAGCGCTCTGCTGCTCAGCTCTCAGCCTGTGGCACGGTGTGTGTGTGTGTGTGTGTGTGTGTGTGTGTGTGTGTTTGTGTGTGTGTTGGTTTAGAAAGAGAAGCGAGAACAGACTCCTCCCGTTGCCACCGTTGCTCAACTCTTTGTGTTTTTCCAGGATTGATCATCAGACTCTGCCAACAAACAGCTTCCCTCAGAGGATCAGCCAACACACCAAGGTGTCTTAATAGAAAAATCTTTGGCACTGTCACATCCCTCAGTCACTTCCATCCCAAATCCCTCAGTCCCTCTCTCATCACTAACTTCTAACTTCATTTGTTGCCTTTTTTTTCCACTGAGGCAACTGCCTTTCCTGCACCCTGCGCAAATGTCATTACCTCCAATACTTTTGCTGCTAGCTGTCTTATCTCAGCAGCAGCGATTCCTGTGCTCGCTGAATTTACAACTCAAACCTTCCAGAGGAGCATGCACCGCACAGTGTAATCTTCTCTTGATCCTGTCCCCCAGGCTTTTATCCTCTCTAAGTGCTGTTATTGTTTGAGGGATCCAAAAGCTGAGGCCATCTGAAGCCCGCAGTCCCCTTCCAGCTGTTGACAGAGTGTGTATTATTCCTGCTGTGAGTCCCGGTGCGGGGACGACTTATGAGCCAGAGACAAAGCAGCACTTGCAAATCAAATTGGTTCAATCCATTGAAGCATCTGTTTCCATTCTCTAGAGGGCAGCAGTGTGCACAGCTGAGCTTTCTGATCACGACTGGAAAGGAAAACTAAACCTGTGGCCTAGGAGTCATGTGATGAGGCTACATTCTCTGCAACCTTTTAGTTTGAAAAGTCCGGGGCTGTATTTCAGTGGTCGGTCAGATACGGAGATGTTTGGAGACGATGACGTTGACACTCACAACTGCTTGACGTCTTTTCCGTCACGACTTGGCCTTCAGTGATTCATCAGGTTCCTATCAGATGAACGTCCTCTGGAACTAACAACCAGCATCAACCTGGGCTGATAAGAGAGATAATCAATTACAAGCGACGCTGACCCCGTTGTCTCTGGATTTTACTTTACACCATTGCCGCTTCTCGTTTTTTTTAGCTCTTTAGCTTTTTCTGCAACTGAAAACCAAATGTCTCCTGTGTCTGTGAGTGGTCTATATCTCTCTGTGAGTGTGTGAAAGTGTTGGTGCAGCTTGGTTAATTTCAAGGTGACTGTTGGGCCTTGGCGGGGGTTACGTGCTCGAATGAGTGACACTATAGTTTTCTAGAAGCTTGAACAGAGTTTCTTATTATCTGCTGTCAGTCATGCTAACATTTCTCTGCCTTTTCTTTTTTCTCTTGTGTCCTTCAACAGCCGCAAACGCAGATCAAGCAGCTTTTAAAGTGGCTCTGAATCGAAACGCAAACAGTTCACTGTCCTCATTTGTGTCATCCTGCCCGAAACCCCAGATCTTAACACACAAAGTTCGTGTCCCCCTGATGGGTTCATTATGCGATCGGTGTTTCAGCCACACTGAAACAGAATGGCTGATGATGTCAGCCCAACTCCTTCTCCCCTCTCACCTGTGGAGTAAACGTCTTTGGTTGTGAACCATTTGTGATTAATGGGACATCAAAATCTGATCTGAGCTCAGTGTGATACATTCCTGAGGATATGAGTCAGCCAGGGACACATAAACATCATTAATGAACAAGACGCAGGCTGGAGCGAGGCAGAGTGACAGAAAGAGGGTGAGGAAGCAAACAGGAAGGCGAAATTTATTTTTGTGAGGTATATTTATCTGTGGTTCTGATGATGATTGGCTCTGTGCAGCCACTTTGAGTGATGGAGAGACGGTCTGCGCCCAGGGATCTCATGTGATTACCTTCCATCAGTTTCGCGAACAGGGACAAATGCACGGCAGCACCTATTTTTTTCTTCTAAATCCATTTTACTAAAATTACATTTCCCTTTGCTCTCTCATGCCCAGTGGCAAAGAACTCCGAAGTGTACCGAGGAAACTTTGGCGCTCATCTATGTGAAGACATCTATATTTATCTGGGTATGCAGCTCTTTGCTAGAGGCTAATTACCCAGAAGAAAGGAAAGCAAAAATGAAATGCAATTATGCAACTGTGTGTGAGCGCGGTAATGGAGCTACTGTAGATGGGGACATTACTGCTGCCGTTCTCCGCTTATATGGCCAGACCGTCGAGTCATGTTTTACTGCTGGATTCTTTAGGGAAAACATCCACAACTCTTTATTCAAAGCATTTAAACTCCTCATGTTAGAAATATCAAAAGGTGTTGTCTCTCTACTCTCCTTGCAAAAAGAGCAACCTTCCTGGAATCTGTATTTCTTTATGAAATATATGTTTGAGGAAGAGTCTGACATGTTGCTGTGCTCAATACTAACCCACATTGCTTATTTTAGCGCAAACAGGAGGAAACAGATTATCAATCAGTCAATCAACTTTAAAACTTTTATAAAACGTTATTTATACATTTATTTAGCACCTTTCATGTAGGATAGTGCAGTTCAAAGTGCGATAAAATAAGACTTTATTTATCCAGCAGGAATTTATTGTTCTAGCTTGCTCCAAGATTACAGTACAGAAATATATGAAGTAGAATAGATTACAGTAAAAAAATACTATAAAGAATTACGTCTAAAACACAAGTGAAGATAAATATAAAAGTAAATAAAGTGTATACAGAGTAATACAGAACCAGTGCATATTCGTAGATATCAATAGAAATGAGAATAAGATACTAAATAAAGTGGCAGTAAATACAGATGAAATGATGAAGGAGTAAGTGTTAACAAATATTGCAAATCATATCGAAATCAGTTGAAGACATTGCACATGATATTTATTTAATGTGATGATGAACAATGTAATGTTACACACATTTAACGTGAATTGTGTTATTGCACATGAAAACGAAAGACAGCAGCACTATACACCAAGTGTCCGATTATAGTCCTGTAGGAGGCATGGATAATGTATGATTGACAGGTGGTGGCGGTGCCGGTTGCAGGTGTAGGGCGTGCAGTGTCCTCGATATATCAGTCAGGCTCCACCCCTCGCTCCTCCAAATATAGTTACTTCTGTTTTCAAAAAAACAAGACGGTGCTGCAAAAATGCCGAACTCGAGACTCAAAACAGCAGCTCACCAACCAACGGGTGACGTCATGTTGAGTTGCCACCTGGTTGCTATTTCACCTCACTTGAAAATGCTGCCACACAAATTTGTTGAATGTCAACGACAAATACTTTACTTTCAGCTGTGGACGCACCCCGGAGCAAAAATCCTAACAGCTCCACTAGGAGCCGCTCATTGGACTTCAGTATCGGGCCGCAGGCGTTAAACGGTTGGAAGCTGCACTTGTATGAATCTGGGAAAAAAAAGCATTAAAATGAAATCTCATTGTGTGTGTCTGTGCCTTCCTGGCAGAGTGAAGGATGTAGAGCCAGAGGGGGGCGCAGGATGGAGTGTTCCTGGAAGACAGTGCTGCTGCTGGTGTGTGCCTCTCTGGGGGTCCAGTACACGGCCATCCGCACACTGAGGGACTCGCTGTCTGGACCCTGCCAGGGAGTTTACCGCTGTCAGAGCAGACATCACAGAGGTACGCTCCAAACACCGGTCCAGATGATCCCACGCTGTACTTCCTCACAACAAGAGAGCATGTAGTGCTGTAGCTATGGATATATGTGAGCTCATGTTTAATGCAAAGACAATAATGATTTTTTTTACCTATCTTTATTCAAGAGTGTAGTCTTTCAGGTTCAGAGCAGAACTTATTGATCTCACTTCCAGTCTTTGTAATGCTCTCAGTCCAAACCCTGCGCTTGCATTCCAATATATCCTGCTTGTGCTCAGCTTCAGCTCTGTTCCTCGTGCTTACTGTAATTCCATGTGTGTTTGAAATGTCTGTACTTGGACTTCTCCTCTGCCTTCTGTTTCTTCTGCTGTTGGATGATGAATGAAATCTCTCCTCCATGGTTTCGGCTACTTCTGCCGTTGACACACTGCAAATTGAGAAAAACAACTTCATCAATTTGAGGACACATCTGCCGCAAAAAGTCACAACACACGCAAATACACAAACACTTTGTGGAGTTAATCAAGTCTACTGCCTGTGGCTGATGGAACTTCACAAAGCATTGAACTACAGCCAGGTTCATCACATTTTTGGGTCCTCTGGAAACATTTCCGTTTCCAGGGGATTGTATTTGCATGGTTTAAGACTTTTTGCAGCACGTGTCATCAAATTGATGAAGTTGTTTTCTTAATCTGCAGTGCGTTGAGCTCTCTCTGCCGCTGTAGTTGAAGCTGTTTTCATAAAATATAGAGGGAAAGAAACAGGGCGGCATTTATCTTGTTGGTTCCTGTAGCATAAAAAACGTAAGATCCTTGATCCTTGAAGCAGCGTGAGGAGAAGAGCTGAAGGCAGGAAATCTAAGCACAAGCAGAGGATATCTGAGTGCAAGCACAGGGTTTTGAGTGAGAGCGTTACACAAACTGAAGATTAAGTCAAAAAGTCCTGCTTTCAAACTGAAAAACTATACATGCTCTTGAATAAAGCTCTTCAGCACCGGCAGAGGGCGCACACAGACACACTCAACACTTGATTGGTAATAATAGTGATATCGATCTCGTATTTGAAGCCTCAAGCAAAGAAAGTCAGTGCAGTGAGAAAGGAAGTCAAGGATCAAGCGGCGGAACCGCGTTGAGGCTGAAGAGGAAGGAGAAAGTAAAGCGGAGCATTAAATGAGGGAATTCCCAAGAAGTGGCGAGCGTGGAGAAATGAAATATGTGTGATCCGTTTTACAATTACCCTCCAATTTATCTCCATTAATCCCCTCTCATTGCACAGCTGCAACTTCGCCGGTGCTGGGCTCCCGTGTACAAAAGCAACATCCCATTTGCAATCAACTCCTCATCAGCAGTAATAACACGTTAGCTATCTGCACTATATTTAGAGATCCTCCATTTCATAAATCCCCCCGATAACCACCAGCAGACAAGCAACTTACTCATGCATGTTTACCCTCTGAATTATTCAAACCTTATTGGCTGGATTCAGGAGTTAACTTTCTCCTGAAGTCAAGACAGAGAACAGGAGTTACTTTCACTTTTATCAGAAGGAAAAACTCGACTTTTAACAGAACTTAAAACTGGAAAACAGCCGTCAGTGAATTTTGATACTAACTCAAGATATTCCTGTGACTGGCTGTGCTGTGCCTTTAACCCATTGCGACAAAACATGATATATCTGGCATCAGTTTGAGTCACACATGTGAACTTTCTTTTCCTTCTTCAAGACTCCAGATGGAGAGCGTTGTGTGACGACAGTTGGATTCCCGTGGCGTCGCCTAGGAAACACATCCTGCTGTTTGCCACCACACGCAGCGGCTCCTCCTTCACGGGCCAGCTCCTCAACCAGCACCCGGGGGTTTTCTACGTGTTCGAGCCTCTCTACCACGTCCAGCAGGCCTTCACTAATTCCAGCAGCAGGCTGCGTCGCACCCTGGACCGCCGGGCCCTGCTGGGAGCGTACAGGGACCTCCTCCTCAATCTCTACACATGCGATCTTCACTTCATGGAGAATTACATCCGCCCAGAGCCCCAAGATCACGTCACAAGCTCCTTCTTCCGCCGAAGCTCCAGCCACGCCCTCTGTTCCCCTCCCGTGTGCCTAGAGGGAGGAGATGCAGCCGCCCCTGAGCCGCCGGATGAAACCTGGTGTCCGAAGAAGTGTGGAGCCTTAAACCTCACTTTAGCTTCAATGTCGTGTCTGTCAAGAGGACACGTGGCCATAAAGACTGTGCGGGTCCCTGAGGTGGGGGATCTGCGGACCCTGACTGAAGATCCGCGCCTGGACCTGAAGATAATCCACCTGGTGCGGGACCCCAGAGCCATTCTTGCCTCCCGCATAATGGCGTTTTCAGATCAGTTCCGCGCTTGGAAAATCTGGAATGCAACTGGACGGCAACCCCGATACGTGGACCTGTCACAAATTACCAGCACCTGCAAGGACATGGTTGCCTCTGCAGAAACGGGCCTGCGGAGACCTGCGTGGCTGCGGGGACGCTACTTACTGGTGCGGTACGAGGACCTGGCGTTCAAACCAAAGGACAAGGCCACAGAGATCTACAGGTTTGCAGGGCTGGAAACAGAGGACAGGGTGAACATGTGGATTGCAAAGAACACCAACAGCAACGTGTCCTCCACGTCCGACTGGAGCTACAGGTACTCCACCACCAGGGACTCCAGAGCGACAGCAGAGAGCTGGAGGCTGCGGCTCGGCTTCGACATCGTGAGGACCGTGCAGAATCTGTGCAACGACACTCTGGCCCTGCTGGGATACAAGCGTGTTCACTCCGCAGCAGAGCTCAGAAACTTGTCCCACAGTTTAGTGGAACACAGGACTTTTCACCCAGTCACATGATGGATGTGTTAAAGGTTTCCAAAAATCTTTTTTATTTATCTATCATTCTGTTTATGTATTTATTCCTTTATTCTATGTATTTATTCATGTAGTGATTTGTTTTATTTATTTATTTAACTTATTTATTAATTTTGCTGGGTCACTTTTCTGAAAGAATGAACATATTTAATCTCATTCTTGAATAAAACTAAAAGTAATTTCTTATTGTTTTTCCCCTTATTATGGTTTTGCTGAAGATATTAAAGGTGCCAAATTTCTATTGTCTGTGGTGCAGAATAAATTCATCAGTATACTGCTGTACATTTTGATTGAAAAATTATTACAGATTGTTCATATCGTGTGGTTTTTATCACACAGAAACATGCACACACACGCAATTCAAAGAGTCTCTGTACTATTTCAGAGCAAATCTGACCTTTAGCCAGACAAAGCGTGATGTTCCTGAACGTGAGACACACGGGAAGTGAACGGAGGATTTATTAGTTAATAAAAGAAGAAGAAATTATAGGGCTCGGCTTCCAAGTGTCTAATGCATTTTGGTAGAGGATTAAAATGTCACATGTCGTAGGTAGAATATCTTTCCTGGTGCAATCTCCCTCAGAGCAGCTGTTTTTTTCTATGTGAGAAAATATCTGTATGAGTCTTTTTTCCTTCACTGTAAATATTTAAATACTGTAAATACTGTGTAACTGTCAGAATGCAAATGTGAACATGTCAGGTGCTGGATATGTTTGGGCATTGTTTTCAGTGTACGGTTCATATTTCTAAGACTTTTTAAAATAAATTATTTATAGGTATTATATATCCATAGTGCTGCTGGAGTCGTGTTGCAACCAGTTTTGTTTGATGCGTTCTTTTATTTCTTTAATCCTCAGAGGAAAGTGGATGAGTGCATGAGCTTCAGTGCTGAAAACAGAGGCTGGTACAAATTCATTGCCTCTTATGCTTTAAACCGTGCATGCTCAGTTCAGTCTGTACTTCTAAAGCCAGATTTCAGTCATGCTGATGTTCCAGCAGTAACAGATATGTTTCTGACTCAGGAGAACACACGCTGCCCATGCTGCGTTTCATTCTCCGTTGATTGTGCACCTTTCAAAAGAATAACACCAGCATCATTCAGCAGCACCAGCTGTCTGTGGTGAAGTATAGTCGCAGATTAGACAGCTGCACATTTTCTGCTATTGACATTGCTCTTTGAGTCTAAACAGAGAAAGGAAGCGTGCCATCTCCAGAGACCAGCCCATTTACTTCCATACAGAGCTGTTCTCTTGAAATAAATGCTGAAAGTAGTTTCTGAGGAAGAGCTCCTCACATGAATCGCAGCCAAACCTCTGATTGACTGTGATTTTCTTGCCTTTCAACAGCGAGCGTTGCTTCTTCCTATGGAGGCTTCAGTTGGAGTCCACTGGGAGCTGTGAGCTTTCATACTACGCCATGCAAAGAAAGCCAGTCCACAGTGAGGGAGAGTGGAACGGTCACGCTGCTCTGTGAGCACTGTTAAATATGAGGTGAAATTGTCCCTTTAAAATGTATTTTTAGACACACACACACACACCCACACACACACACACACACTCCACCACCACAAAACAACCGTCTTGTAGCCCTATAGCTGCTGACACCAGGGATATCTCAGCAAAGCCCAAAGAATTGATCTACAGATCCAGCGGAGGAAAAACAGGATTTAAGATGCATGGAGAAAAGAGTGGCCGTCTTTCTTTGAAGTTAATCTGCGAGGCTACACAAACTGGCCATAAAGCAAAGCTTTATGACACCCGGGGAGATGTGCTTCATCGGTTTTTCCATCCCCACCCTGACACCCAAAGCTGCGAGTGGCCTGAGTCAGCTGTCTGCTAATTACCCATTTCTCCGGACTCAATACCGGCAACTCCTTTCTGTCTCCTTAACTGTGCTGACAAATTTACAGTAGGTCCTATAAATACTCGTAACAAATATGAGACGCATGCTGATATCGGAAAATGCAAAAGAGAACAGTTAATCTACACCGATGGTTCCCAACCTGCTTTTGTTCAGTGTGTAACACTCCAGTCAGATGAACTCAAGTACCCCTCCACTGACACCACACTTCAGACCCAACCATTTTTATTTTATTTAAATTCTCAAATATTCAAGCATTCAGCCACCTCTTCCAACAATTCGTCCACTGCGCTTGGTTAAATTTAGACTCTGCTTGTTAACAAGCGTTCACCTGATCATATTTTTTTTGGGTCAGGGAAGAACCTAAATGTTGGTGAGGATCTGGATCAGGGGGCAGATCCACAAAGTTTGTTTGACATTCTTTGATATTGCAAATTGAGAGCACAGTTTTTAAATATTTTCACTGAGAGAATAATTCATGATCAAACATTTTGAGGGAACTGATATTTATTTAACTTGTGAAATTTGGTGCAGATCCAAATAATTTAAATGTAGTTTCATAAGGAGACTGTTGGGCCTTGGTGGTGGTGGTATATAATCTGTTCATGATTTTATTCCAAGAAGACCCATATAACTGCAGATGCAGTCCTGGTTTGATGTTCCATACACTGTTCTGTCCTGACATTCAAATCAGACTTAATGAGAAGAGGAGAGTGACAGTATCTCAGACACATGAATGAAACATGCTCAGCCCGAGACGTTAAAAGGTGAAATAAGCATTTTTATTCTGCAAATGGTTTGTGGTCATGTGGAGAGTGGACTCGCAGACATCTGTCACACTGACAGCTCCTGGGACGTAGCATTTTCACTCTCTTCTTCCTGCTTCCTGAAAGTGATGACTCCCTCTGTATTTCTATGTTTTTTATATGCATTTATGATTTTGTCTTTTTTATTTTCTGTAAATTGATATTTACACATTTACATGGATGGATGGATGGATGGATGGGTTATTTGATCCTCTTATGTAATTATCTTTATATCACCACTCAAAGGGCTTAACAGTATAACTGTACTATACACCACTAGGACAATTAATGGTTCAGTATAAATTCAGCAACACTTTCAATTAGAGTGGTGTTGACTACAACTGTAACCAAAAGGGCCCCTTGGCAATTAAGATATAAAGATAACAAGCCTCAGTTATATGATAAAAATAAACCATCCATCCCTGCATTCATCCATCCATTCATCCACCTCTGCATCTATCTATCCATCCCTGAATCTCTGAACCCATCCTTCAAACAATTGAAGAACAAAAATCCACACCTGTTTCCTTTCACCCATGTCACAGACTGTAACTATCTGATACAGCTTCAGGACATATGAAGATCATAGCATCACAACATCAAGAAGCACCGATGTGTGTGACCCAGCTTCCACCAGCATATTGATAATCACCCTCTTGACCTTCCAGTGGCGTCACTGTCACTTGAATCAGCTCTGCCACGTCGTGAGCCCTCCCCTCTTCAGCCTGGCCCCGTCACTCGTCTGTAATCACCAGCTCTAACCAGTCGTTGGTCATAATGAGATGTGGGAGCGAAGAAGGTCGTGAGACGTCCTTGGAGATGCTCCTCCAGCTGCAGGTGTGTCATCCAGGTTCATTATCCAACTGTTGATTCTTTATGGTCCTCATCTGGGCGAGCGGCCAGAAAGTCAGCAAATTATGAGCCTCCTCCGTCTCGTGCACATAACCACGCGCTTTGATCAAACTCAATTTCCACCAGTGCACATGTATGCATATATAAGAATATGTTTGCTTGTATGTTCAGGGTATACTGTAGTATATGGCTTCTAGAGGCTGGACAAAGGTGACATCCAGCAGCAGAGGAGCAATTTCAGCTCTTGTGTGAACTCTGCAAATTACGTTCCTTATGAAAGCGTTGGTTAAAGAAAGGTTAGAGCAGAATAGACAGCCAACTGACTACGTACATTATGTTCAACCTCTGGGGGTCTCTCAATCAAAACTATAACAAAAGAACTAGGCTGTGCATAGAAAAAAAAACCTTTCAGACATCACGGTGATGACGTCAGTGTCACAGGAGGGTGTGTACATGTGAGTACATATAGTGATTAGTTAGTAATTCTTTAATGAATTCTTGATATATATCATAACATGAACAGAACTTGTTTTCTTATCATTTCATTTATATTAGTATGTATTATTTATATATTTTTATACACATACAGTAAATATTAAATTCATTATCTTTTAAAATTGCCTTGTTTCTTTATATTTCCTTTATTTGAAATTTACCTATGGAACATTTTATCCTTGTAGCCCAATTATATTTTATATAACTTTTGATCTAACAATATTATACTCAGTGCAGTTTCATTTATATTTATATATATATATATACTGTATGCTGTCATGTTCCAAATGTCTATATTTACATTGTTTCATGGACTTATGATTTTCTTTTCTATTCTTTCTTTGTGCTTAAACTCAGGAAGTGCAACACAAATATTTTTTCTATGATATAGTCACAGCTCTGATCCAATAGAAAAAAAATATCATGATTTGCTGGTTCTTAGCTTCACAGTCTGCGCAAAGGTCTGAATGAAATAGTGCCGTTGATGTCTGAAGAAATATCACCAGCAAACAGACATTCCTATCTGAATTACAGCAGTGTTTAAAAACTGTTATTCACATCACACAGCATTCATCATTTCTCTCAGCCTCTTAAGTGCAGAGAGGTACAGAAGGCTGTAATTCCCAGAAACTCACCACATGCAGTTCACTATGTCTTTCATAGAAATGTGTTCAGAATGATGAGAAAATACATCACACTCTCCTGACGTAAACGCTCAGCTCATTCTTCTCTATTGACGAAACCATTAACATCCCAGTGGCACTGGCCCATACAGGTTTCATTCGTCACTCTCCTTACTGGGAGCCACATGTGTCATTTATGGTGAGATGAAGGAGCATTTAAAATAGAATGAAACCACTTTGAGCCACAGTATCTTTATTACTGGAGCCACTCGGGGCCTGAGCAGACATCAGCCTCTGTCACACCCATCATTCAAATACTGTTATTTCCCTCCGCGCACAGCAGACCTCCATGTGCACCCAGGCTCTTCATCGGTCACCTTTTCCTCCTCGTCTTTGTCTGTTCACAGAATCGTAACATTTCTGCGTCTTTTCTTTTTTCTTTTCCAGCTCCTTCGGCATGGCTGTGATAGGTTTTGTAGTGAAAGTTTGCATTTTTATGACAACTCTCCCCAGCGTTTGTTCCAGTGCGAGTTCACTCACAGATTATTTATTGTGTTTTCCACTGATCCTAATAAGGGGCTTTCATGGCGAACATCAAAAGGCCAGCTGGCGGAGCTGCAACTGGGGTACAGCTCCTCGAGGTAAATGCAAGCAAGCAGGCCCCCTATCAGACTTAGCATCGTCAGCAGTATCTCACACACACACACACACACTGCAGTTTTAAAAGGACACCAGTAAGTCTCAACAATAAGAATTTCATATACAGTGAATAAGCTTCTACTGCAGGGATCCATTCAAAGAACCATGCAGGGGCGCTGCACCAGGGTGGAATTTACCAGGGGCACAGAGCTGAGGGGCCCCCCAAAAAATTGCTGATTGTGTTAGTCCACAGTGAAAAATCCACTTAA